ATCCTTCAATGCGGAATCCTCACCACCATGATCGTTGAGGGACTTTGAATGCCTGTTAAACAATACATTGGAGGGGCATTTTTTAAGTGTTTTTTTCTTTTTTGACGTTTTTTTTTTCAGCAGATTTTGATTTTGCTGCTTTTGTGCTTTGCTGTTTGCTTTTTGCATTGTTTTTGTTTTTACTGATTTATTGCTTTCGTTGCTTTTCGTTTTTTGGAGCTTTTCTGCTTTTGCTGCTTTCCCTCTGCATTGCTTTTGCTTTTGATTTTTTGCATTTGCTGCTTGTTTGCTTTTTTTGTTTTTGGTGTTTGCCTTTTCTTTCTGCTTTGTTTTTTTTTACTCGGTTCGTTTTTTGTTGCTTTGGTTGTTTTGCTGATTTTCTGCTCTTGTTGCTTCTGTTGATTTTTGTTGCTGTTTGGTCTACTGTGCTGCATTTGTTGCTGTTCAGTCTGCATTACTGCACAGCTTGCACACACTCGTGTTTCATATTTTCTTTAGCTGCGCAAACACATTAGACAGAGAAGCTTCAATACGCTTTGCGCATATGTATGTCATGGTGACATTTAGAGGAGGAAGGCGCCATTCCAACATAGAAGACCTTTTGTGAGCCACCCGAGGGTAAAATTTAGAGGAGGAAGGTGCCATTCCAACATGGCAGACCTTTGGTGAGCCACCTGACAGTAGAATGAGCCATTCCAACACAGCTGCCCATTTATGAGCCACCTGATGGTGAAATTTAGAGGAGGAAGGGGCCATTCCAGGATAGAGCCACCGGAGGGTAAAATTTAGGCGAGGAAAGTGCCATTCCAACATAGCACACCTAGCTTAGGGTAAAATGTGGAGGAGGAAGGGCCACTCCAAGAGAGCAGACCTTGTGTGAGCCACGCGAGGGTAAAATTTGGAAGAGGAAGGTGCCATTCCAACCTAGCAGACCTTTTGTGTGCCAAGCGAGGTTGTAATTTAGAAGAGGAAGGTGCCACTCCAACATAGCAGACCTTGTGCGTGCCACCCAAGGGTAAAATTTAGAGGAGGAAGGTGCCATTCCAACATGGCAGACCTTTTGTGAGCCACCCCCGGGTAAAATTTGGAAGAGGAAGGTGTCATTCCAATGTAGCAACATGCCTGTGTGCGCAAGTGAGTCGCAGCGTGGGCAAAGGGTTCATGCATGCGCTAGTGAGTTAACCTTTGCGCGCGCAAGTGATGTTGTGGACCTGGCCTCTTCATCATCAAGTAGGTGCAGGGGGGCACACTGCCGACATCGCTTGCGCAAGTGAGGTGAGTTTTGCGTGCGCAAGTGAGTTGCGAGCCAACCCCAACAAACACCACGGAAAACCATGACACAAGCAGCCGCGCGCAGAAACATCCAAGCACACGCCATTCTCCCAAACTCTCTCCAGCGCCACGAAGCTCGCATTTTTTGAAGGTCGACCACGCCCAGCTGCACCGGACACCATTGCGAAATCTGCACTACTTCCTCCACCTTTGCTTGCTACGACAGCTGTTTCTCTTAAGTGTCAGCCCCGCTGCCGAAACTGTTTCTCTTTCAAGCTCAGCCACTCAACCCACCTTGGTCCGCAGTTCTTTTCCCCAGGTTGCCGTAAATAGCAGCAAACTGTGAGCCCCAAGGATTTTGAAAAAAACGAAAAACACACAATAATCCGAATTAAACGTGCACCCCAATACATTTAGCCTCCTGTGTGAGTCAGAGGAAAAAACATAATATGAGAGAACACACAAAATCCTTTACTCAAAACTTGCTCATGACTGTCATGGTCAAGCAAAGTTGCTTAAGTGTTGCCCTGCTGTTGTGCTTGGTCGATTGAACATGAGGTGTTTTCTTTCGATTTTTGAAGCGTCTGAAGTCCTGTTGGGATCATGACCGTGCTGGCGGAACCTTTGTGCGCCCCGAAGACCATGGCTCCGCTGTGCCCACACGACCAGGGGAGGTCCCTCCATGTTTGGCAGGGCAAGAGGGGAGGTCCCGAGGTTCCAATGTCTCACGAAGGAGACCGCGCCACGAATGATCCGAGGACGTCCGGATGATCCGGTTCATCGGTTTGTGCTTACTGTTTTGCTGATTTCGACCACCAAGATCCTGTGCCGACCGATTGAGGCAGAGAACAACCGCGCGCGGAATGAAGCGGCTTTACAGCTGAGCTGAAGGAACGCGGAACGAAGCATGCCGGAGGAGAGCATGCCGGAGGCAACATTCACAGTATTTGCGTTCTTAAGTGCATATTGCTTACAAGAGCGTTTCTGAAAGAGCAGTAGATAAACATGCCAGAGAAAGAAGGTACACAAGTTATTGTAGATTCTCATGTCAAAATGATTCATGATCCTACACTATTCTACATGTATTTTCACGTGTTCACATATTGCATACCCGCGTACAAAGTGACACACATCTAGATTGACGTGGTGAATCTGCTCCACTTCTTTGCGTGTGGCGAGTTGAGGGAGCTGGGCTTACCTGCTCCTGAGCTCCAGCTTCTGCCTGTGCGAATTCAAAAGCTCCCGTGAGCCGGTCCCCTCCAGGCTCATGGTGTGAGGTCCCGGAGTGTTTAAAGATGAGCATCCCTGGACACCAAAGAAAGTGTGATCTGCCGGCATGGCGTACAGAGGACGAACTACGCCAAGAGAGCACATTTGTACAAGCTCGCTCCGGAGTGAATGTTGCTTCCAAGCATAAACACAGATGAAGACAAGCCATTCTTCTTTCTGTAAGGAGTTGCATTCGTCCCTCGTTCCGTTCGGGTCGCGGAGCGAAGAAGCGCGCGCAAGCGCAGCGCAAGCGCCCTCGCAGGGTGATCACTGTGGAAAAGATTGTCGAAGTGCCTCAGGTGATCACGAAGGAGCCACACTGGGGCCCCCCCCGCATGCGGCGCATCGGTCGATGTGATCCGCGTCGAGGGATTGGGCTACCCGACCACACAGGGATTTTTCGACCCATCCCGGATGGGTCCGGTATGAGACACCCCGTTTTCACCACGGAGTGAACCCGTACGAACCACGCGTGGTGTATTGGGATTGAAACAGTTTCTCTTCACATGGGATAGGCTCCTTTGAAGGTGGATTTATTGATTGCCTTTTTGCTGTGATTGAGGCAGATTTTTTCTTCAGGTGTGAAATACTTGATCTAATCAGATCGACAGCCTCGACAGCCAGCCCCTTGGCACTTGAAGCATCTTGAAGCTTTGAGATCCCAAAGATGGAGATCTTAACCCATAAATCGATGGCTGCGGATCGTTTGGGGACCCCGGGAGTGGACCTTTTTTTTCCCAAGCCGGCATGGAGAAGAGCCTCGGATCGTTCGGGATCGGGGCGGAGGATCCATGTCCAAGCAGAAATCTGAGGGCTCCACGGTTGGTCCCGAAGGGTTCCTGCAGGAAATGCGAAGGGCCCAGACCAAAACCCGGTCACCCCAAACAGGTAGGCAATGAGTGACTGCCATGTGGACCGGTCCTGGGGTACCTGGACATGGAGCTAGCATGTTTCAAGCCATGGTTGTGTTTGGGACGCTTCGCTCCGTGTTTTAGCGCCAGGAGACCATCAAACGGGTACCCAAGCCCGAGATCATTGAGAGAATTATTGAGGCACGGGTGCACGAACAACACGGGTATGTACGAAGGTGAAAAAAACAGAAGGAAAACATGGCTTCGTCCATGTTCGGGATGATCCATCGCAGATGGTCTTGAACGGATTTCAACGCATGTTTGGATCTGTTGCTCAGGGCCTTCAGGCGTTCTCGTAAGCTTGATTTGAGTGGGACTTGAAATCTTGCAAGAAGTTGAAGACACCGGCACCAGGTGCCAGGAAAAGTCGACACTCGCTACGGAGGGAGGCGAGCTTGAGTTGCCGCAAAATTTTGAGCCTGGGTGTTGTATGAGGTGGTCCACTTGGATATACAGAGAGAAATTTGAAGGGCAACTTGCCTTAGGGTTTGCGCCTTCCTGATACAAAGCAATATCACGCGTGCCAGTCAAGAAGCTTGTTCATTGAGATGAAACATGCATGAACTGATGCCCCCGCCCAGGGGTGGCTTCGGCCCTGGAATGGACGGTGGCATGGGGGGACTGGGAGGTATGGGTGGTGTCGGCTTTGGCCCTGGTGGAATGGGTGGCATGGGGGGCATGGGTGGTCCAGGTGGCATGGGTGGTCCAGGTGGCATGGGTGGTCCAGGCGGCATGGGCGGTCCAGGCGGCATGGGTGGTGGCATGGGTGGCTTTGGTGGTATGGGCGGGATGGATGGTTGTGGTGGCATGGGTGGCTTTGGAGATGGCATGGGCGGATTTGGAGATGGTATGGGTGGATTTGGCTCCGACGGCATCTACGGCAATGGAATGCTGCTCGCCTGTGATTTCAGCCATTCTATCTTTGACCATAATAGATGTAAGTACCAAGACGGAAGAACCAAAGTAACCGATTCCCGTGTGTTTGTTTAGAGACAGTAGACTCAGTTATTAGACGTAGAAGCTAGGCCCCTAGGCACTGCCTGGTTTTGCCGATAGAAATCAATGTCCGGAATTCACCATATGATACTGATACATATAACAAATTATTTAACAACCATTCACACTATCAAATCAACCATTCATAGTGTAACTCATGTAATCAACCATTATATCCGGAATTCATCCATATGATGTATACTTTCATATTTACCATTCATAGTGTGATTAAAATCGATTGGGTTCAACGCACCGGTCGTTGGGTTCATCGGTGCCTTGGCCAACCCAGGAGCGGCATCGGCCCTGGAGGATTGGCCATCGATTATGGTGGCTATGGGGGAGGTGGCATCCAGGATCTCCTTGGTGAAGGTGTGGTTTTGGACTGAGGAGATGAGAAGAAACCTGTGAGTGTTCAAGTCTAAGCTTTGGATAGCTTTAAGTCGGTTTCACTTGTTGGGTGGGTTGTCGATTGATGTGCGTGAAATGTGTTCACCAGGTGCCATGCAGTTGGTGAATGCCGGAGCCCTGGACGAGGCATTGGGCCAGCTGAACGGCTATGGGATTGATGCCAACGGCCACTTGGCACAACGCTGATTTGCTCGGTCCATGTGGGTTTTCCTCACCAATCCACAGGGTGCCATCCCTTGCAATCTACATTACCTGGGAGCCCTACAAATCCATCCGCATGCTGCAGCTCTGCATTCTTCAGATGCCAAAATAGAACGTGTGGATTCTGTAGATGGTCTTGAACAACGATAGGTTGCTGGCGACCACCCAAAAAAACTAAACACGCATACCGTCCCCAAAACAATCCCAAAGGGTGGTCTGATTCTGCGCGCTTCTTTTTCGGTGTGCCGTTCTCAAGCTGATTAGAGGCCAGTCGAAAGCGCCCAGTGTGTTGGACCCTAAAGTTTGGGTTTGAAACGCGTGGCGGGTTTCAGGCGGGCGTTTTAGGCGGGCCTTGGTCCCATCGCTTCCAGGCCTGAATGCAAATATGTCCGGCAAAAAGGGTACAGAGGGGTGGCTCAGAAACGTCCCATCGGAAGGTCGAAGAATCCTCGTTCAGCGACTCCGCGTGGAGTCGTCGAGTCCATCGGCTCTGTAGAGCAGTGGACAACGATGCAGCACATTCTTCAACGAGAATTCAATGACTGTATAAACCCAACACAAGGCTTGTTTGATGGATTTGACTTCTCCTTACTAGTCCTTACTGTACTACTGAACCAAAGAAAACACACATTTTCCTCTATTTTCCCCAGAACTTAACTGTTTCTCTCAAACCTTGCACATGAAGCTGTTGTTAGCAGCTGCTAGGTGAGCTTCAGCTCCCTCCAGGCGTCGAGCCAGGTACCAAGGCTGGTGACTGTTCTCCACGCGATGTATTGTTCTCCTGCTTTGGTTTGGACCAGTTGTAAATCCATGTTTTCCCATTGGATGCCATGTTTTTAACTTCGAACAGTCATCTTTGGCCTAGCGGCCTAGCGCAGCACGGAACTGGTTTACAGCGCTGGCAGGAGTACAACGAGTTCCTACAGCAGCTGGAAGCCCAAGGCTTAATCGAGATTCGAGAGGACAGATGGACACGAGTGCGACGTTTCCGTTTTGCGATGGATGCGGCTTTCTGTCAGGAGATTGTCGAAGTTCCCCAAGTGGTCATCGAAGAGCGAGTGGTCCATGTTCCAGGCAGAGAACAAACTGTTGCACCATGTGGAGTACCAGGGCGGCCCCTTTTGGCTGTGAGCAAAAAGCACAGGCATGAAAAGTTTAGACTCCTCCAACTGCTGTGTGAAGATAGGCCTAAGTTTGGAGTCTTCCAAATTGAAACCGTTGTTTCTTTTCCTCCAGTTTTTCCTCTCAGAACCATCCTGTCTTCAGGCATCGAACCTGTTCGTCTCCGTGTCGACTCCGGCACACGAAGCACCTGTTCGCCTTTTCACAGTTCCTTTCTTAGCGTCCTTGTTCCTAATAGGCAAGAAGCAGATCCAAGAGCGGCTGATCGAAGTGCCCAAAGTCGACGGGGCAGCCCAGCTCGTGAGCGCGACCCGCTCGACCGTCCTCGGATCAGAGCGTGGCCCGTTGAAGGCATCGAAGTCCGGATGGACACCGAACCCGCAATTGGTGACTTTCAGACATCGAAGCAAATAGCTTGTGGCTGTACATCATATAGTAATTATGCTGCAATTATGCTGTCATGCACAAACAAAGTGTCAAGTGGTACATATCAAGACTCGGAATTCGCTCGCGCTTGGGGATTAGTCACTGTCACCTGGTTCTTTCCGGATGTCACCACAGCATCCGCCTTGATCCTTCCAATCTTTTTTGTTGGAAGCCGGATGCACTGATGAACATCCACTGGCACTCACTGTCTCTTTTGATTGCGAGGGACATCTGAAGCAACTGCACGCGACATGTGGGACACCCAGGATTGGGTCGAACGTGTGGAGTACGAGGATTATGTCGAGTATCGAGAGGTTCCCGTGGACAAGATCATTGAGGCAGGAAGCCTTTGCAAGACTTGACGTTGACCAAAAAGTTGTCCAAAATACTGTAGACTATCTCTCTTTTTCCATGGTCGAGAGGATGTCTTCATGATGTCTAATGGCTGCTTGGTTTTTCATACAGAAAACGTCCCAGGATACGGTGGTCCGAAGCGAACCGCAGGTTCCCGAGATCGAATACAAGCTGAAACAGGTGGACCACACTGTGCCACAGACCTACATCCAGGTCGGGGCTCGTAGCTCAGACAGGTCCCCATACACAGCGCAGGCGTATATCTCTGCCGCTTGAGCTGTTTCTGCCACGTTCCCTGAAGTTTTGGGCGCCCAAAGTCGATGCAAAAGGAACATTCAGCGCATCGGGCATTACTACGAGTAGCAAGAAGCTACGTTCGGGGCTCCTGGCATCGCTACTAGGAGCAAGGACGCTACTAGGGGCTCCTGGCCGTACTACTAGGAGCAAGAAGATACTAGGAACAAGAAGCTACTAGGTTTTAAATGCCGATCTCGATGCACCGAGCCCCAAAGCCAGGAGCACTTTGTGGACAAGTTCCGAGAGGCACGGAAGGGAGAAGCTGACATTCACCAGGCTTAGGCTTGGCATCCATTTGTGGATGAAAAGGATGAACTAATGATGAACGTTGATAGCACATTATTTTGATGCCGATGGGCCTGCCTTCTCTAGCCCCTGCTCGCAGAAAGCGACACAGCTTTTCCCGAATGCGTAGCGAAGGGCTCTCGTTTAGCTTTGGGAGTCTGAGGGTAGAGCGTTGTTCGCGTGACGGTGCTTGGGTGTTAGCAACTGTGGGCAACCGTTCGCAAGCGAACGAATGTGGTCGATAAGGCCTTGCCGTTGTTGGAGGTGGGATTCGTGTCGAATCCCATTGGGATTCGCTGTGCTCAGGCCCTTGCCTCGAAGCGGTCGCTCTTCGTGAAAAGTCTCAGCTCTTTCACAGCGACTTCGGTTGCTGTTTTCGCATGCTCCGAAAGTGTCGAAATCAGCTCCGAAACGTGTCGCAAGTGGTGCAAATTTTGCGGAGGGCAAGAAGATGGTGACGTGGTAACTTGTCGTGGCAGGCACAGCACGACTTGTGCTTGTTGGAGGTGTGGAAGTGGAATTTTCGTGGCAGGCGCAGGGAATGGTGAGGTTGGGACCAAGGTGAAAATTGGTGTGTCAGCGGGTGCAGCTTTGAGGGGCTGGGGTTACAAAACTGCTTTGCAGAGGTGCTCGATGTCTTCGTTCTGAGGAGACTTCCCGCTTCACTTTTGGAGGAAGCCGGGCGCAAAATGCTCACTTGGGAGAGTTCTTATTCTGACTTTTGGAAGAACTCTCGTACGAAACGCTTGTTTTGGCGCGTTCTTTGGAGGAAGTCTTGTACGAAGCGCTCCTTTCGGAGACTTGATGCGAGACTTTGGAGGGAAATCTCGTCGCTTGTATGCGCGCCCGTTTTGAAGACTTGACGCGGGGAGTTTTGGAGGTGCTCAGAAGTGGGCGCCATTACGTTCTTGATGTCGCTGTGCCGTGCAGTCTGGCGCGGTTGGTGGGAAAACTTGCGTGGCCCCGTGCGACTAGAGGAATGGAAACATGTAACATGCGTGTAAACGCCGCGTGTCGCAGGTGAGCGGGATGGTTGGGAAGGCGCCGGTCGCACCTCGTCTGTAGCACAGCCTAGGCGGCAAAATGACATTTGTGATGGCACGCTGTGCCATGCGGGTTGGCGCAGCCTCGGTGGAAAGTGCGTTTGCGTTGGCGTGTCAACGCGGCGTGTCACTGGTGAGCAGTGAGTGGAATGATCGCAGTCGCCAATAAATGTCCCAGAAGAGTGTCTGACAAGAGTGCCGCACAAAAGGGACCAACAAGAGTGTCCTACAAGACTGTCCCACAGGAGTGTACCACACAAGAGTGGCCTACAAGAGTGTCTTATCAGAGTCTATTATTAGAGCGTCCCACAGGGGCGTCCCACAAGAGTGTCCCGCAAGAGTGCCCCACAAGAGTGGCCTACAAGAGCGTCCCACAAGTGTCCCACAAGAGTGACCCACAAGAGTGCCCCACACAAGTGTTTCACAAACGATTTCCACAAAAGTGTCCCAGCAGAGTGTCCTACAAGAGTCTCCCACAAGAGTGTCCGACAAGAGTGTCTTCTACAAGAGTGTCTTCTACAAGAGTGTCTCCTACAAGAGTGTCCCACGAGAGTGTCCCGCAAGAGTGTTTGCTACAAGAGTGTCCTACAATGACTGTCCCGCAAGAATGTCCCGCAAGAGTGTCAAACAATGGTTGGCCGTTTGTATTCGAGTGCGTGTGTGCATTCGGGTGTCTGGCGCTATCTTGTTTTTCTTTTGTGCAGATGAAGGTTGAGGTGATGAAGTCAACAGAACGACAGCCATTGTGTTTTCGTCGGTCCGGTGGAGTATATATATATATTATATAATATACGGAGCAGTTGTGAAGCATACTTGTCAGTTGAAGCATCCTCATCAGTCGCAGCCCTTTTAAGGTTTTGTGGATAGTTGTCCCAGAAGCTTCATGTCCCTGGCTATTAAGTATTGGGAGATTACGCCGGATGATTTCGATTATGTTGGGGGCCGCTGCAAGCTCATTATCGGCAAAGAACCAGTGAGCCTCTTGACTGGCGACATCGTGGTGAGAGAAGCCTACAAGAAGAAGATGCAAAAACAACAAGCCGCGGAGGAGCGTCAGCGCAGGAAGAAAGAGGAGGAGCAAAGACGCCGGATTGTTGAATTCTTGAAGGGGAACCACTTTGATCCGGACGATGTGAATGCTGCTGGCAGCGAAACGACAAGATGCCTGGGCTTGCTACGCTCATGGCGGCAACCTTTGCATCAGGCAGCGAAAGACCGGGACGTGGACATGATCTTACTGCTTCTAAAGTTTGGAGCTGATCCCACCAAGAAAGACAGCAAAGGAAAGACAGCCTATGATCATGTGAAGTGCTCGGCCTTACGCAACCGTATGCGCGCGTTGCATTCGAAGGTGCGGGCTGAAGGTGGCTTGAGCCTTGGCCCCGAGCCTTGCGGGTGAAAGGACCACGCCCATCCATCGTCTACTGATGGAATCATGCCGGTGGTCTTTCCCTGGTGCAGCGGGGTGTTGGTGTTGGGGATTGTCGGACCCCAAAGGTTCCAAGCTTTAGTTTCATTCGCTTGACTCAGCCAGGAGTGTGGAGTGCATGGTTGGAATTTGAATGAATTGAACATACCCGAAAGGGTGGTTGTTGGGGGAAACCTCCGAACTCACAATGTACTGTGGATCTGGCGGTGCCAGTCAGCAGATAACTTCTCTTTTTTTTGGCCCGAAAAAGCTGTCTTAAGCAGCGTAGCATCAATAGGACTCCTTCGAAGTTGATACAAAATCCACCGCAGATTGCCATTTGACGAACTTCGTAGAGGTGCTATGGTGTATACGATTCTATCTTGGATTCCAGAAACGTACGACAGGTGTTGGCCCTATATAGATGGTTACTTCTAGGTGTTTAGCATATTGTTAGTGGCATCCGGAGCTTTCAATAAATGCCCTTCACAACCACATTGGGAATGAAGGACTCTTGTCTTTTGCAGGTCGAAGGTACTGAGCGAATTCAATTCATTTCACTTCCAATTCTGATGCTTCAGCAAAGGCGGATGATGGAAAGGGTGAGAAAAGTCACCCAGCTTCTCATTCAAGCTGCTGAGGCGCATTGAGAATCAACGCATACCCAGGGACCATTTGTGACAATGGCATCCTGGAATCCTGGTTTCAACGTGCTCCACTGCACTGTTTCCTTCTTGGCGGTGGTCACCGATTTTCATCGGGAATTCAGTGCTACTTCTAAAGTCCAAAGTAAAGACCTTTGATTTATGTAAAGCTTTCCATTAGGCAGGACATTTTGCAGAGTATTTTCTCCTTCACCCTCCCACTCTCCCAAGTGCACACATCGACAAAGTCCGAAATATGTCTCCCATGATAAATGCATTGTGTAGTGAGGCTGCGAGGCTATGATAGGCTATGAAGGCTATGCTGTTTCAAGAGGAACCAAGACCAAGACATGCAGATGTTGTGAACCCTTCTGAGCAGTGGTGGAGAATACAACTCAGCCTTCGGATGATGTTGCTGAGCTGAATTCAAGAGTTGCATGTTTTGGAACTGAATACGCTCGAATGCACTATATGTGTTTCTATATGCGCTGAGGGGCCCGTGTTGCCCACTGATGACTTCTAACATGCCAGTGGTCACTGAAGAGATGTTGGTCAAAGGAGAGTTTTTGGTGGAAGCAAAACTGAAAGTATGGGACTCCTCTAGAGTCTTCTATTCAGGACATGTCCCAGATTTGTTTCTTGTACCTTTCCCTTGTTTTTTTGCAGCTGCACCTATGTAGCTTCGTATAAGGATCAATAAACAGTCAAAACATGACGTTGTACGAAGCCGAACACATGCTGGGAGCCTGTTTTTCAAAGATTCCAAGAGTGATTTCGAGTGAAAAAGGATTCATGGGACGTCACAGACTGACGGGATGGTTCAATCTGAGATACTGCTTCAAAGAAAGGCCATTGCTGGGATGTCGCTGAGCTGGTATCAAGAGTGTAGAAGACGATGTATTGGTCCCCGAATCTAGTGTTCAGCTTAGCGTCAAATATGAACGTATGGCCCCTCGTTTGAAGTTGATGCATCATCCAGAGGCCAGCACTTTTGGTCAGGCGATGTTTTTTTTCTTTTTTTCCATGGACATGATTTTGGTACGGACATGGTATGGACATGATTTTGGTTGACAAACATGGGACATTCGATGGATTGGTCTGTAGGAGTTCAAGCACATTTGTGATGGCGATTTCCGAACTTGCTTTTGACAAGCGCATTACATTGGGAATGAAAGGACTCATTTTGCATATTATAGAAGGCACTGAGCTTCAATTCCAAGTCTGATGGTTCAGCAAAGGGTGAGAAAGCAACCACCCTGCTTTTGCTGAGCTGAAACAAAGACCACATGGTCAGATAATGAATCCGTTCCCAAGGACCATTTGTCAAAACGCGTCCTGGGTTCATCATCAAATGCTCGGGATCAATTTTGCCTTTTTGTGCTTCTCCACAAAGACCTGTATGGAACTGACGGTGCACTGTTTTTTGGCAGTGATCAGTGGTGTTCACGTTTGATAGACTGCTGAGCACAGTACGAAAGTGCAAGACCCTTTTTTGGGCAGATAATTTTCCAGCTTGGTCTCGTCTTCACCCTAATCTCCAGTGCCCAAAACGACACTTCATGCCGTTTTTTTACATCCCCTTAAATCCCAAAGATTAATGGTTGACTTGTATGCAGTCATGGAGTTGGGAGGATTCATTGCGGTGCATGGTCACATGAAACCCACTACACTCCGTCTTGAGTTCTTGGATGCTGCCGATTAACATCCCCGAGCATTGATGGCTTAGCAATCGGTGTGGAAAAGACACCTATTTTTTTGAGAACTCAGTCTAGTGTCGGAATTTACAACCTCAGAAGGGGAAGGAGAAGAAGCAAGCAAAACTTGCTTCCTTTGGAGTGGCGCAATCAAGTATGACTGAGGAGATGC